CATTCACATTATCAACACAAACTGACGACACGTGTACGAAAACACTGCACGGCTTACAACGCAATTGGCCAGGACGTTTTCTGACTTCCCCTTTACAATCCCATTGATGCTCGTTGGAGGTTCTGGTTGCATCTGAATTTCAGCCATCAGGTGATTCGATGAAAGGAAATTCTCCTGAAATGTAAACTGTTTGATTTAAACTTTATGTGGCTACATCCAAGCCGTTCACATGTTACAATCTCTTCTGGGTTCCATCCACACCACAACGGGTGTAATAACACAGTATATGCGCATTGCCATTCATTGTTAATTGCTCCCTAAGGGGCAAGTTCACACCAGTGGGCATGCGTTATGGTGCATATGACACGTTCACTTGTGCAACAACACGTCGCAGTGTTCATGGTTCTTTATTTGACTATTTATGGGTCTGGATGCCGTGCAGCCTGTAAGACGCCGACATCGTCATTCTGCATCCACAGCAGTTAAAGATTTTGTGTGTGAATTGTTTTGTTTGCTCATCTCCGGGCAAACCAAAACAGTACCCTTGCAGCGGGCTCACCCCAGCACTGCAAGGGTTAACTGATTATGTCTAGGGGACAGGGAAAAGTTGCTTTACTTACCGGATCCGTCGGGGTTGACTGACCGGTCCACGCAGCCCCCCCCTCCCCGAGATCCAGCAGTCTAAGGACAGCTGGCGTTCTATAGACCTGCATTAGATCTGAGGACGCTGAGGGACACCAACCGGAGCAGAGGGGAGAGAGGTGAGTGCTGACCACAGGGGAGCAGGGATCTGGTACCCTTAGGTATGACCAAGCACTTAACCCTTAGGGTTCAGGGGTAACCCCACTATAAGGGTAGATTTTCGGGTTGGTCTTCCTGTAGATGGTCTTCAAGCCCCCATTCACACACCAGATTTTTGTGGCGTTTCCCCATTTCTGACTATGCTGAACATGCAGAATTCCATTCTTTCTAATTGTCCTGCAAGATCCACTCTCTCTGACCTTTCTGGGCCCTTCAGACCATAGTATTGCGCTAAACTCATGCTACCCACGTGTCCACTCTTTCTGACCTTTATGGACCTGGTCACACTATCGCATTGTTTGAAATGCATGTGTTTAGTGCTTGCTATTGCACGGAGCACCTATTGTCGCCATGTGCCGGGTGGTCTGAATGGCATCCCAGTGCACTTCCTGGCAGGCGTGCCTTGCAGTGCAACATGTGGTACTGCAATACCGTGCCTTGCATTGCGGTGGGAAAAAATAGTGACTGCATATCTTTTTTTTTTTCCATTGCAATGCACGGTATTTCAGTAGCCCCCAGGAATGGCCCTAAAAGTGTTAGGGGGGGATCAAGTGTTGATCAAAACTGGAGCAAAGAGAATCTGGAGCAGTTGCCCATGGCAACCAGACAGCTTCTCTTTTCAGTTTGCTCAGGTAAGATTTGAAAATGAGAGAGAGGCTGATTGGCTGCCATGCCAATCTGCCCCAGATTCTGTCTGCCCCAGTTTTGATAAATTCCCTCCCTTAGGGCTTGTTCACACGATATCCGGACCAGATCTGGAGAAGATCTGCAGACGCGGTGCTATGCGTTTTTGACACGTTCCAGTTAAAAAAAAAAATTGGGGCTGTCGATATGTTCGCTGCAGTGCGTTTTTGACGCGTTTTGCATTTCCGGACCGGACAAAATGTGACCTGCAGTATTTTTTCTGTCCGGACCTGCGCACGTGAGAACTGTAGCCCATAAAACACATAGGGATACATTGGGATGCATTTTTAGTGCAGGAGCGTACGGATCAGGTCAGGACAGAATCCGGACGTCGTTTGAACAAGCCCTCAGTGTCTCTGCTTCTGATCAGTCCAGTCCCTGGATACATAATGGCGCGTTCTCTTGATTGTAGCTGTGGCCACCCATTCCATTAACCTTTTGACAAGATGCATTGCTGGCAGAGTGACAGCTGTATCCCCTCTGTGTTTATACAGCTGATGTCTGTAAATAATGTGTCAGAAACTCCTTTACATGTAAATTGATGGCCAGGTCACACTGTCTAAGACACACCAGGGCTTCCTGTATCCCAATTTAGCACCAATGATAGTATGAATGCTACTAATTCAGTTTATAGACTCGTTCATGATTTGTAAATATGTATATTTGTTGTGCATACAAAGCGAATATGAACAACAATCCTCAGAGATGATCATCAGCCCACCCAAGACTGACTATAGAGGTGGCACTCGGATCTGTCAGGGACACCAGTGGTGGGCTATCCAGTGCTCTAGAGGAGAGGCAAGCAACCTCGGCACTTCAGTTGTGGAACTACAAGTCCCATGAGGCACTGCAAGACTCTCTCTGCCTCTGGAAGTTATGCCTGTGGCTGTCAAACGATGGGATTTGTACTTTAACCACAGCTGCAGTGCTGAGGTTGCCTACCCCTGTAGGCAAACCCTTCCTGCTGAAGTCAGATGAGTCTCACTTTTCTTACTGCATTCTTTGTACGGTAACATAAAGAACACGATCTAGCATGGCAGTTGCAGCCTTTTATAATGCATTGAGCAGGTGAGAAAAC